CATTTGAAGCCACAACTACTACAACTTAAGGGTTAAAAATGGAACAACAACACCAAGAGAATCAAGTAGCAATGGAAAAAGCAAACAAATGAGACGAAGTGAAGAAAAGGGAGACGAAAGGGAGAGAGACTGGAAGACTGACAAGCAAACAAGAAAAAAAAAAGCATAAAGTAAAAAAATGCCGGGTCGATAAACAAAAAAATAAATAAATAAAATAAAAATAATAAAATAGAGAAGAAAAAACAACAACTATGACACAGCAGCGCTGCCGCGGTCAATGCTGGCGTCGCTGCCAGCTGATAGCGGGCGTCGCGACGTCGTCGCTGCCGTCGTCGTCGTCGTCAGTCGCCGTCGCGTTTGACTCATTAAATATTTTGCAACCTTGACCGTTCGAAAGCGATTAAAAATGTGATGTGGCTGCCTCACTTCGAGTGTATTTGTGTATCCATGTTGTATCCATGTATCTATGTATCTGTGTATCTGTATTTTTTGTCCATATCCGTATCTGCATCTGTGAGTGGCATGCAAGCTGCAGTTGCAAATGCAACTTGAGCAAAAAACCATTACTATTTTCCATGTATTCAAGTGGGTGGGTGGTGCCCCCCGCCTTTGTGAATGAAACACAAAATTGTTGACATTTGTAAAGCTTGTGGAAAAAAGGGGCAGGGCTGTACACACAGAGACACACGCGGAAAACAGAGTACACCGCCTTTCCTGAAAAGCAAACACATACACGGGGGATGTGCAAAAGCACGATATCGATAACATGAAAAAGGCCTGTCAAAGAACTGGGTTAAAGCCTGGCAAACATTCCCTCCCAGTGGATTTTAATTTTAAGCGAAAATTTATACATTTTATTGCAGTTTTATTGATCAAAAAAGGGCCATCTCTAACTATTTCGATTTAAAAATAAAATAAATTTAAGTTTAGGAAAGAATATAACCTTTTTATTGCAATTTTATTTATCAACTTAGTGTCATCTCTAAGTATTTCGATAACTTCTCATGGTCGGTCCTAAAAATAAGCTTAGTAATCTGTTAAACTTCATTAAAACAACTAAATCATAGCTTTCATTAGGCGAAAATAGACAATAATTTAGTTACATAAGGAATATATTCATTTTAAAGCATTTTTAATTATCGAATTAATGACATCTCTAATTATGTCGGTTATTAGTCAAGGTTTAGCTAAAATAAAAGCTCAATAATCATGAAAAAATATTAACTATAGCTTTCATAAATCGAAAAATGCAAATAATTTCATTTAAGAAACAATTTATCAATTTTTTTGCAATTTCATTTATCGAAGCTATGTCATCTCTAACTATTTCGATTATTTGTCAAGTTTTACATTAACAGTTAATAAAGGCTAATTTATTTAAAATTTCATTAAAAAAACTAAATCATAGTTTTCATAAAGCGAAAAATCAAAAAAATAATGAAAGAAAGCAGATAAACTTTTTATTGAAAATTCATCTATCGAAGTAGTGTCACCTCTAATTATTTCGATAATTTTGCAAGGCGGTCTTGAAAATATTCAATATTCAATATTCAAAATATCAATATTCTTTAAAACATCATTAAAACCTAAAGCATAGCTTTCGTAAGACCAAAAAAAGGCAAATAATAAGCAATAACTCCTTTAAAAACTATCGATATTTATCGATTAATATGTTTTTAAATGAAATTTTAATAATATTCAAAATAATACTAAACCACAGCAGACTTTTAATGACTATTTAGCCAGAAACTCACCATAAAGCATAGAAACTCATTAAAAATCTTGCCTTAGGACTGTTTTCTTCAAAATGCCCCCTCCGATAGACATTTTGTTTCTTTCTAGATTTCATTTATTTTCATAAAATATGAAAGGCTTTTGAAAGCCTTGAAGGATAATCTGCAACTGAAAGCTTTCTTTGTCAATTTTCTGGGCAGAAACTAAAGAAAAGCAAACAAAGCTCCAGCAAAAAAAAAAGCAAGAATCGTTTATCGTTTTATGCTTTTTCTTTTTCTTTCTATTTCTTTTATTTTATTTTATTATTTTTTTTTTTGGATGGCATTCTGTGTGAAAAGTGAACAATAGAACAGATTCCCGACTCCCATGACATTCTAATGAAGTTAAATTGCCATCCAAGTGGTGTGTTTTTTTTTTCCATTTCAATTTCAATTTCAGTTTCAGTTCAAGCCAAGCATAAATTTCTCAACTAAGCCAGAATAGGGGGTAACCCAAAAGAAAAAGGGGGAAAAAAACTATGGAGGAGCCATTAAAAGTCGATTAACTGATGGATCTGCTTCCCTTAACAATCGATTTGTCTTTTCCTCTTTTTGGTCGTTTTTTTTTCCCCAGTCACCCTTTCAGAACAAAAAGTGACCAGTAATTTGTGGATAAAATAGGAAAAAAATAAGCCAGCATATGTCATTTATTTTAATATCTACCCTAGTGGGTCTTTTTTTTACAAAAATTATCTTAAAATCTTTCAATTTTTATGCTAATTAATGTTAAACATTTTTTAATGCATAACTAATGAATTAAATGAACTTTTTAATTGGAAATTCTAGCTTTGCCTTTGACTAATTATTTCTGACAGAACCTAATGAAGTTTATGATAATTTTTTGAAGAATTATTATTTTTTTTGGGGAAAGACGATATTCATCCATCAAAGAAAAGTTTTCAGCAAAAAAAAGTAAAGATAAATAGACTAAAAATAGGAAAAATTTAAGTAAAAAAAAAATGCCATTTTCAAAAGTGTAGAAAATTAGCCTCATCTTGTTTCGAACCTTTTCATTTTATTTTTTTTATCTTTTTTTTCCACAACAAATAGCTTGCGGTTATCTTAAAGATATATACCTATATATTTTCTTGTCTTTTGTACTTTTCCTTTGTTTTTCTACAAAAAAAAAAAGCGAAAAAAAAGATTTAAAAAAAACCTCAATGAGATAGAACTCGGGTACCCAGGGTGTTGCTAATTCCAGCCTTTGCTTCAATCGTTGTGGCAGGTCAATGGTGTCGAATTACACATAATTATTTTAGTCTTTAGTTTTTCTGCTTTGTTTTCTTGTTTCTTCTTTGCATCTTTTCAAGTGCTTCCCACTTCCCGATTCGTTGTCTGAACCGCAAAGACTAAGCCTCATCATCATCATTATCATCATTATCATTATCGTTGTTGCCACGTTTTCCGCATTTTCTCAACCAACTGGCTTTGAATGCAAATTATGAAATCAATTGAAATGCAAAGTGTTATTAACATTAAAGCCTTTGAAGAAACTAAAAAAAAATTATTCAAAGGAATATATTCAAATTTTTAAAACAAGTTCTCTTTTAAAACGAAACTGTATTGTTTTCCAGAGTAGCTTTTAAGAATTTGCATAACTAAGGGAATAAAAAATTTCAAAAAGATAACAAGTCAAGGTCATCGAGAAAAGGTCTTAACATTCAGCCTTTTACTTTGGTAATCTTATCTCTGCTAGTTTTCTAGATTTCTAAGAATTCTATTGATAATAAATATTTAAAAAATAAACTCAAAAAACGGTCACACTGACAAAAATAGAGATATTAAAAGAAGGTCACACTGGCAAGGATATAGCAACACCTCTCAGAGGCAGCTTTTCTTGGTATTCTAATGGATGATGTGTTTTAGGAAGTCTGTTAGAAATAAATATTCAAAAAAAATACTTAAAAACGGTCACACTGATAAGAATAGTAATATAAAACAAAGGTCACACTGTTAAGAATATAATAATACCTTTTAGTGTTACCTTTTCTAATTATTTAGATAAGAGCCAATGCATTTAGAAACTCCATTGATAATAAATATTAGAAAAAAATACTAAAAACGGTCACACTGATAAGAATAAAAATATTAAAAGGTCACACTGTTAAGCTTTTCTGCTTTTAGCTTTTGTTAGTATTCTGATGGCTAATTCATTTAAAAAACCTCTCCATCAATCCATCATCTAAAAAAGCAACTTCCTCACCCAACCGGACAACAGAAAAAAAATCCAGAATATCGATGGAAAATTGTGGTAACTTGGGTGGCAACTCTGGCACACACACACACACTTAGCAGCATTGTCAATGGCCTTTGAATGCAAACAGGAAATGAGCTTTGCTGCGGAAATTTGTTCAGCAAAAAGGCAGAGAGGAGACTGCCAGGGAGGAAGAGGCGGGAAAAAGAGGCAATGTTTGATTACTTGTATTAAAGTTTTTCTCTTGTTTGTTTTTGTTTTTGTTGTCTTTGCAGAAAAAGAAAATCTATTGCTTTGAGGTTATAAATTATACAAATATTGTGGAAAAGCTTGCAAAGATAAAGGGAATTTTAGGGAGTTCTTGGAAGCTTTAAAACAGTGTTAGATTTTGAAAAAGATATGTTTAGGGTTCGATTACGGCAGAGTTTTTTTTTTTTTTTTTTTTTTTGTAAGAGAATTTTAAATATAAAAAGAGGTAAAGAGTCATAGAAAATAGGTCTTGAAGTCTATTTTTTTTACAATCCTAGTCTAGGGTTTAGACCAGAGGTCGGCACGACCCTATCTCGGGGGCATAGGAAATTTCTCTGCCCCAGCTCTGCCACACACACACAGTATAAATGCGTGAAACGTCATGCTCACAGCCTACTTTCTGCTATTCGTTACTAACACTAATGCGGTAAAATCATATCAATGTATTGGGGTGCCGACCACTGGTTTAGACCCAGTTTCAATTAAAAGTTTTCAGAGACTTTTAAGTCTCGAGTTCGAATTCGGTAATCGAACTATTTTCATATTTCTCTATAATATCATCTTCTTCTCTCTTCTGTATCTCTTCTCTATAATATCTCTAATAAGAAAGTCTTCAGAACCTTAAAAACTATCTTAAACTTTATTATCAAGTTCCTGACTCCTTAAACCTAGTCCAGAGGCTTAGTTCTTCAAGTTCGAGTCTAGAGTTCGACTTGGCATGAGTTTTTTTTTAAATTTTTTTTTTTTTTTTTAATTTATTTTATAAAATAGTTAAAATATCTCACCTGTGAATCGACGGTGCACCTGATGGCAAACGTTGCTGATACGCGGACATGTTGGCAGCTTGTTGTTGCTTTTGGTGTTGTCGTTGCTGCTGCTGCTGTTGTTGTTGATGTTGCTGATGTTGTTGTTGTTGTTGCTGCTGCTGCTGTTGTTGTTGTTGTTGTTGAGTTGATTTTGTATTTTGCTGATTAGCCACTGAATATGGAAAGGGTAGGGAGGCAGGACCATTATCATGCTGCTGTTGTTGTTGTTGTTGTTGCTGTTGCAGCTGCTGCTGGTTGCTGCTGGCAACCCTTTGATGATGATGTTGTTGTTGTTGTTGCTGATGTTGTTGATGTTGCTGATGCTGCTGCTGTTGTTGTTGTTGTGCACCGTTTGGTGTATTGTTGTGGCTGCTACTGCTGTTGTTGCTGCTGCTATTGTTGTTGTTGTTGTTGCTGCTGGAGTTGCTGCTGCTGCTGTTGTTGATGTTGCTGTTGTTGCTGCTACTGCTGCTACTACTGTTGTTGTTGCTACTACTACTGCTGCTGTTGTTGTTGTTGTTGTTGTTTGTGGGCGGCGGAGCACCGACCTGCACTGAAGTGGAGCGTATAGCTGCTTCCATTTCATGCCGAACTCTTTTGGCTTAAACACTTGTTGTTGTGGCCAGAATTGATGAACGGTATTAACTTGGTATGCTTGTTGTTGTTGTTGTTGCTTTTGTTGCTCTTGTTGCTTGCAACACCATTGCACTGCGACATCCTCCAATAGGAAATGCCCCACAAAAAAAAAAAAAACAATTTTTCTTTTTTTAGTTTCTTTTTTTTTTTTTTTATTTCCGGGTTGAACCTGGGTTTAGTTTTTTTTATTATTTTTATTTTTTATTTTTCCATTTATTTATAATTTTTCTTTTTCATTTTTTTTTAGGTTGGCAACACTTTTTAGTTGCTGGTAGGTTGTTGTTGTTGTTGTTGTTGCTGCCACTTGCAACAATATGCCAGCCGAACTGCTGCACTTGCACTATTTTCCATTTCTTTCTTTTTTTTGCACATTTATTTTGTTATTCTACAAATTTTTATCATATTTTCAAAATTTATTTTTTAACAAATTTCTCTTTTTTTTATCTATTTACACACACACTGCTGTTGCTGCTTCTAAAGAAGAGATTAAAAATATACATATTTTTTAATTAAAAAATATTAATTTTTTTTTTACATCACTTCACTTATAAACATTAAAAAAAATGTAATAGTTTGCGATTTTTTTGTTTAGGGTGAACCTTGTGCGTGTGTGTGTTTGTGTATTTATAAATATTTTTTTTTAAATTATTTTTCTATTTTTATTTGAAGTATTTTTTAGTAGATTTATAGTATTTTTTTTTAATATAATTTTTTATAAACACAAGAAACTTGAACCGAAAATGAAGAAATTTTTCCATTAATTAACAGCTTTTGCACACGTTTTTTGTTTTTCTTCTCCTTCTTTTACTTTATTTCTTTATTTTTTTTGATTATTTCCTAATGCTCTCTGTCTCGCTCACTGCCGTGTCCTGTCTCGCTCTTAGCTGGTTTATCATCCAAAATCCCATCCAGCCGTGCGTTCGCTTCAAGCCTGAAAAAGGTAAAGAAATTCACAAAAAAAAAAGAAAAGATTAGTTGCGAAAAAATATTTATAAAAAAAAAGGAGACAAAAAAACAAAGAAAACATATAGCAGGGATAGCAGGTTAGATGATTAGAAAATCGATAATGGCCATAAATATTCGAACAGATAATGTCCCCCAGGTACCGTACCAGACCCCAAAAAAAAAAAAAAATATATATATATATATACAACCTCAGAGCCCAGTCCCCCAGACCGGTTTGAAGTGCAGCTCTCGCATTATCGGCTTTCTGCGATTGCGATTACGATTACGATTACGATTACGATTACGATTACGATTGCGATTGCGATTGTATTTCAGTCATTGAATTACTTCAGCCTGCCTGGGCCAGCCTGTTTATTTTTTATTTGTTTGTTTGGCTTTTTTTTATCATCTAACCGGGGGCTTAAGGTATTTTATTTACACCCGAATTCCTCCATACCTCCTCCATATAATCAAATAAAACAAACCAGTTGTCTTTGTAACTTTCCGCTAATGGGGGACTGTACTTGAATGATTTTTAATCGATTCTAGGGGATTTTTTAGAATTTTAGTTTTATTTTATTAACTTTTTATTATATTTATGTGTTTTAAGGGGGTTTTAAACTTTTCTTTGTCTATGTTATAGGTAATTAAGGTGTTTTTCTTTGTATTTTTGTATCGATAGGTATCAAAAATACAATTTTATCGAAAATGATCGACTTTTAATATTTTTTTTTTATTTTTATTGTTGAATCTTAAAAAAGACAAGTTTTTAAAATAGTTCTTAGCTTTCTTTAGTCTGTTTTTACGTTATTTTTCTCTTTCTTTGGTTATTTTGTATCAAAAATTACGAAAAACATAAATTAATCGAAAATGATCGACTTTTAATATGATTTTTATTCATTTTTATTGTTGATTCTTAAAAACACACGTATTTGAAATGGTTCTTAGCTTTCTAAGTCTGTTTTCTTCGTAATGTTCATATTACTTGAATTATTTTTTATCGATAAATATCAAAAGCATAAACTAATCGAAAATTATGGACTTTTAATATAAATTTTAATTAAAAATATGTATTTGAAATAGTTCTTAGCCTTCTTAAGTCTATTTTCTTGTTAATTTTCCCAATATTTACATTATGTTTTATCGATAAATTCCAAAACCATGAACTAATCGAAAATTATCGACTTCTAAAATAATGTATATTATTTTTTTTGTCTAATCTTAAAAATAAGCATCTTTGAAAGATTTTTTAACAATCCTAAGCCATAATTTTTTCATTTTCTTGTTATTTCTTCAACTATTTGGTCTATTTTTTATCGATAATTATCAAAAGCTTAAAATAATCCAAAAGTAATCGCTATAGGTAGTTAAATTATGCTAGTTTTTATGAAATCTTTAAATAGAAATGTTTTTAACCTTCCTATTTTTAGTTTCTACCCTAATTTGTGTATTATTTTCATCATTAATTTTATCGATATTTATCAGAAACTTAAATCTATACAAAAGTCTAGTCTTTGAAGGATATAACTTTGTTTTCTTTTCGTTAAATCGTAAATAAATTAACATAAATCTAGTCTATAGCTTTCCTGTGCCTAGTTTCCAGTAAGTTCTTGTATGATTCCTCATTTTTATCGATATTTATCGATTAGAACTAAAAATCTCTCCCAAAATGATACATTTTTTATTATATTCTTTATGTTTAATCTTTTTAAAGTATAACCATAGACTGTTATAAAGAAAATAGTACCAAAATTTAGGTAAAGCCCCTATCTGGGGGTTTCGATAGAGGCTTTACCTACATTTTGGTACTATTTTCTTATAAAAGTTATAAATTACAAAAAACTCTATTTAATTCCCATCCTAATTAATTCAAAATTAAAACAAAGGCCTGAAGTAAACAATATGCAATCAAAAATGGGAAAAACACATTCGCCTACGAGAAATCGGCTAATTAAATTGGATTTTTGGCAATTAAAGAAGTCCGTACGTGCAGGTCTACAATCAATGGGAGAGAATTTCTTTGGACAAAGGCCCCGGACCGGGCCCTGGACTGGGCCCTGAACCGGGCCCTGGACATGAATGAAGAATATATTCCCACAATTATAATGCAATCAATAGCCATTGAGTACGAGACTACGGGTCGGGATGGAAATTGTAGTGGAAAACATCGTGGAAATTCCCTAAAATAATGACATTATTATTGCAAAATATTTAAAGATTTTCATTCAAGCGAAAAGTATGTGAAATATTTAGGAAATCATTCGTTAAATTATTTCAACAATCGCTTTAAATAAAAGAGAAGAACTCATCAATAATTTTTCGCCCACTCATCTATCATTCGATATACATAGATACATATATATATATATTATATACATATACAGTGTATCACATTAATATTCGGTTTTTTTTTTTTGCAACTTTAAACGCGAATAAAATGTATTATACTAAGAAATCACGAAATTTTAAAAATGGTATTTTAAACTTTGAAATATTGTCTTTACGTAGGTATATATATGTTAGCACTTTATTAAAAATTAAAAGAAGAATCACAACGAAACAAAAAAAAAGCTTGAAAATGGCTTTACTTTAATATTCGGTATTTTTATAAGTATTACGTTAAAACAATGTGGCAACTTCAGATCCGCCAAAAATGGGTTTCCCCGAATTGCACACATATGACTGGTATTCATTTCCTACAAACAAGCCAAAAAAAAGCTACTACGAGCACCGATTTTCGAGATGGGCCGCAAGGGTAAAAATGCATCATTGGAGCAGCGAAATCTTGTCCTCAAACTTCACTTAGAGGGCAAGACCTACAAGGAAACAGCCGAAATGCTTGACATGAAGCCCAACACAGTCGGTGACATCGTCCGACGCTTCAAAAATGAGGGAAGAGTGGCTTTAATAAAGCAAAAAGGACAGCCGAAAAATTGACTGATCGAGAAGAAGCCGAAATAGTCAGAAAAATAAAAAAAAATCCTCGACTTAGTGCTCCTGAATTGTCGGCTGAACTCTTTGCCGATCATGGAAAGGAAGTTTCGGCGCAAACTATTCGGCGTACCATAAAAAAACAGGGGTACAACGGTAGAATCGCCCGTAAAAAACCTTTGCTATCGGAGCGCAACCGAAAGTTGCGAAAAAACTTTGCCCAGGAGTACTCCAAAAAGGACGAAAGCTGGTGGGACGATGTCATTTTCCTTGACGAAAGTAAATTTAATCTTTTCGGGAGCGACGGCAAGCAAATGGTATGGCGGAAACCAAACACTGAGCTGAAAAAAAATAACCTTAGGCCAACAGTTAAACACGGCGGGGGAAGTGTGATGATTTGGGGCTGCATTTCCACAAAAGGAGTGGGAAATTTAGTATTTATTGATGGGATAATGAACCAAGATCAATACTTAAAAATTTTGAAAGAAAATTTGAAGCAGTCGGCGGAGAAAATGGGCATTGCGAACTCATTTAAATTATATCAGGACAATGACCCAAAGCACAAGGCGCATAAAGTGAAGTCCTGGTTGCTTTACAACTGCCCAAAGGTCATGGAAACGCCGCCCCAATCACCTGATCTCAATCCCATAGAAAATTTGTGGAGTGAATTGGACCGCCGTGTACACCAAACGCCGATATCTTCAATATCGGAATTGAAACAACGGCTTCAGGAAGAATGGGTCAAAATTGGCGGCGAATACACAAAAAAAATTATTCGAAATATGCCAAAACGATTAAGCGATACCATAAAAAATAATGGGTATCACACTAAATATTAAGATAAATTTAATTTTAAGATAAAATAGTTTTTTTTTAGGTCTATAAGGAAATACCGAATATTAAAGTAACACAAATTTTGAGTTGTTTTTCGTTTTTGTTTAATTTTATTTTTAATTTAAAATAAATTCCTGTGTTATGTTATTTCTATGAATAGGTAATAAAAAAAGCTTTACTTTGCTATTTAAAATTTTTGTTTAAGTCTTTTTTTTAATCTCTTTCTTTTCATTTGAAATTGAGAAAGTAAAAAACCGAATATTAATGTGATTCACTGTATGTACATATATAGTATATACATAGATACTGAAAGACAGCTGCCTGGCCTGGCTGTGTGTGTGTGTGTGGGCCTGTTGAAAATGATTTTGTGGTGAAGGGCGGCAACGTCGCACCGAAAACGAAAACTCAATCAGCCACATGTTTTCAGCCCCCTCTGC